TTTTTTTTTTTTTTTTTTTTTTTTTTTTTTTTTTTTTTTTTTTTTGTTTGCTTGTTTGTTTTCTCATTTGTTTTTAAAGAGGTAAAACAGAGTTGTTGAAAGTGTCACATATTAGCAGCAGGGAGGATGAGAGGTAGATCCCTCATTTTAATGAAACATCAGCAGAAGTGAACAGAGCACCACGTTTTTTTGTCATGTCCTTGTCCCTCTCCCTCAACACATGGCATGAGGGTGGAAGTAGGTCTCAGCCTCGGCCATTTTTATATTTTCCCCAACAAAGTCTACTAATTGATCACCTTAAGGTTTTCTGCTTGCTTACTTACTTGCATGGCCAGGCAGATGGTGTTCAGCAGGATCAGAACGAACATCAGGTATTCAAAATAGGTGGAGTTGACCACATACCAGACTTTGTACTGGTACTGGTTTTTAGGGATGTATCTCCGCAGGGGCCGGGCTTTCAGGGCATATTCTACACACTGGCGCTGTGAAAGAGGCAGGATAAATTTAAAACTCAAACCCAAAATATCAGAGTGGTCAACTACCTCCAAATATAATAAAAATACAGTAAGTTTCAAGTTTTTTACTGAAACGAAAATGCTTGGTGCTTTTAGGTCATAAGTGAATGTGCATGTTCTACCCGTCAAAGAGTTCCATGTGCAATTACTTTGGTCATTTACTTTGGTCAGACAGTGGTGTCATGCTAATCTAATCTCAGTGAAACAAATGGTACAGCAAATATTTTAAAGTAGCTGCTGTCCCTTGAACTAATCTTAGAGCAAGATTTTTTCCTACCTGACTCCTGAAAGATGACAGCAAAGCCAACTTATTGTTTTATCTTGTTGGCAAGCTTCACATGTTCCTGTCTGCATGTATTTATCTATTAAACACTTATTCTCAATGCATATTCTAACTTTAGTGACAGCAAGGTGTTGTAAATTACCTGGTTTTTGTCCAGCTCACAGTTCTTGTACTCTTGTTCTCCTTGTTCCTGAAATGTGACGATGACGAAACCAACGAAGATGTTCATCATGAAGAAAGCAATGATGATGATGTAGATAATAAAGAAGATGGAGATCTCAACCCTGTGATTATAGATGGGTCCCACATCTTCCATGTGGGAATCAATGGACCTATACAGCAACCTGAAAGCAAACAGAGCCAAATGCAGAGAAAATCTGCAACTGCCTTGAGGCCTTATAGGTCAAAAAGTTTAACTTCGTGATTTTCTTCTGCTTGTATCAATTCACTCACAGATGTGCAGACTTGCACTGATCTGGGTGCAAACACTTGCAAAAGAGGAGACATGGCTCTTGTTAACTTTACACATTTGGACATCTTCAGGGGTGAAATGTTTTCATAGCTGAACAATTGCAATTTAGAAGAAAATAATGCCCTTCAGCTAACAAAAGACAGGAGAGTCTGTGTTGAAGGGAACTAAGCTTTTTGAGAAAAGGGGATTTCAGGAGTTAACATTTGTTAACACCACTCTTGGCATCACCTGGTGACACAGATCAGGGTCAGGTCCCTGATGCACTTGCCTGCCCAGGCGACTCTGTGGGAGTCCTCAGCTCCTGTGGCACAGACAGCACAGCCTGTAAGACATCCCATGTCTGCCAATACTGCAGACTGCTGTATTTCACGTTGCCCTGCTGACTCCAGCAGGAAACCTGCAACACTGGTAAGTGCCTGACAGGCATTTTATATCCATTTGTATACATAATAATTGTAACAAATGCTGGTATCACTGCTACAACTGGCAATCATCTTTTAAGAGCTAGAGACAGTGCTCTGTGCTGTTTACAAGCACAGAAATTCCTGCAGGCCCTGAGGAATTTACCAAGTACATAATGACTACAATGACTGCTGCTATTATTTCTACATTTAATGCTTTAGATTTATTTTAACACTCAGAATGGGAGAGACTACGCTCTGCATTTGAATTTATTTTTTTGAAATGAATGAGGACATTGCTAGTGTTGCACTGGTCCACGAAGCACTCACTCTGGCCAGCCCTCAAAGGTTGAGACAGTGAAGAGGGCCATCATGGCAGTCAAGACGTTGTCGAAGTCAAATTTGCTGTTCTCCCAGCTCCGGGGCTGTATCATGGGCTGGCTGACCTCCCCATCCTTGTAGGTGATGTAGTACCCTCTGTGGGTGGAGAGCAGAGAGACAACAGGGCAGAACTGCACCTCTAGCACGAGGCACTGAGAGTGGGTGGCCAGTGAAGGGGACTAACTGGGAAAGGTCAGACCCACCTGCATTCTGCTTCTGTCTGCTTGGAGCTATCAGTGCAGCTGTACAGCTTGCCCTTGAAAAGGAAGAAAGAGGAATGAAGCTTCCTTTCCTGACAGTGCAAGAGTTAAGGCAGATCATGTAGCAAGGCATCAACATTTACTACTTGGTTAACCAACGGTGAATATGTTTACATGCTCTTTTGCAGGTAGATGTGAGGAAAACTGCATTGAGAGTTTCCTGCATCTGGGTAGTTCAGAGCATGGCCTTTCATCTGCTCGCACAGTACTTTTATATGCATGTCCTGAGGAGCATGGTCACTGAGTGCTGCAGAACACTTGCCGTCAGGAGGGTGGTGAATGGCAAAGAAATACAAGCAGACATAAAGAAGTGAATGAATAACCTCCCATGATGATCTGCGTGCCTCCTCCTCTGCAAAGTGGGAGGTAGAGAGCCAGTGAGTACCAATCCTTTAGAACAGCCCCCTTCACCTCCCTGGCACCATGCCATGCCATAAGCTGTTTAGGGAAGAAGAAGGTTACTGATGATTTCTTATGATCATGGATGATGGGAAAGAGTTCTGCATGTGCCTGGTGCAGTTTTGTAGAACTGCTGGTAGCAGAAGCCCAGGTAGCACTGACAGTACCCTAAATGTTTTGCCTTTCACACAGAAGACTCCATTTCCCCTTCCTCAGGCTTCTTCATGCTATTTTCCTCCCCACCTCCACCTTCCCCCCTTTAATACAGCTCGATGTAATGGATCAATGAATGGGTCCAATGGTTTTACCTTAAACAACTGAACTCCAATGCAGGCAAACATGAACTGCAGCAAAGTGGTGACAATCACGATGTTTCCGATGGTTCGGATGGCGACAAACACACACTGGACCACGTGCTGCAAGTGGAAGACAGGAGCAAAAGTAACTTTGAAGGACTGATCTGAACTGTTCTGGCTAAGGGAGAAACCCAAGACTAAAAATACAAATAAAAATGTATTTATTTAACTAATACCCATTAAGTAATGTCTCAGGTAAGGGGACCAACTTGTTACATTCCCTGCTGTACTCTTAGAAGGAGGCAGAAAGGGATAGGAAAACCAGAGCTCAGCTCTCTGAAACTTCCTGCTGCACCAACTTACATAGCTGGGCACTCACCAGTCCAGAGGAAGGAGGTTATATAATACAGCAAGGTTATGTTTAGGGCTGTAAGCCCATCTGTAACCTTAGAAAATGACATCATTTAAGCTCAGTGGTGATGGGGGAAACCCAGCTGGAAAGCAGCTCATCAGAAAAGGACCTGATGATCCTGGTGGATGCAAAGCTGATCATGAGCCCTCACTGCAAAGATGACAAATGGTACCCTGGGCTTCATTAGGCAAAGAACTTTTAGCAAGTTGAAGTTGATCCCTCCCCTTTACTCAGCAACTGGTGAGACGACACCTGTTGTACAGGGTCCAGTTCTGGGCTCCTCAGTACAAGAGAGCCGTGGACATACTGGAGAAAGTCCAGCAAAGGGCCACAAAGATGACTAAGGGATTGGAACATCTCTCCTGGGAGAAAAGGCTGAGATAGCTGGGACTGTTCAGCTTAGAGAAGGTTCAGGGGAATCCTGCCAGTGCACACAAATACCTGAAGGGAGGATGCAGAGAAGGCAGAGCCAGGCTCTTTTCAGTGGTGCCCACTGAGAGGACAATGGGCACAAACTGAATCAGGGAAGGTTTGTCTGAACACTGAGAAACAATTTTACTGTGAGGGGGACCGAGTATCGGAATAGGTTGCCCAGAGAGGTTGTGGTGTCTCTCTCCTTGGAGATAACTCAAAAGCCATCTAGGCATGGTCCTGTGAAATCTGCTGTCAGTGGCCCTGCTTGAGAAGTGGTTTTGGACAAGAAAACCTCCAGAGATCCCTTCCAACCTCAACCATACTGTGACTCTGCTGAAACATTACTTGAACCATTGCAAAAGTCCTTGTAGCTTGAAATAACCCAAATACATAGTTTATAGAATGCACTGGGACTCTTCTAACCTTAAGTCCTTTGGCTCTGTTGATGGCCCTCAGTGGCCTAAGGACTCGCAGAACACGCAGGATCTTCACCACATTAATGGCACTGGACCTGGAAGAAAGTATTGGAAGTTTTGAGAGAGATACACCAATATGGGGTAGGGGGGGGTGTGCTATGAGGGCAGATCTTTGAAATCCTGCATAGCCTTAGACTGAGGATATTTAGTCAACTCTTTGCTATAACACTTCAGGGGTAAGGAAACCAATTTCTGATGATATCTTCATAGGCCTTGCTTCTTGTACTGGGCAGACTCAGCAATATATATTCTCCTCATTTCCACCACCTCTGCTGTATTAATGAAGGGGAAATGGAACATGGGCAGGGTATATCTTTAAGCAGGGAAAATGGCTCCCTAGATATCTATGATAAAGAACTTGTGCCAAGATGGAGTCATTACAAGGTATTTTCAGATAAGGTTCAAAGAAGCACTCTACTGAAGTTTTCACAGAAGAGTGAAAAACACAGGAAACTCCAGCATTAAAGGTACACTGTCCACTGGGGGTTTGATCCTGCAATGTGTTTGGCCTCTGATCCCACAAATCAGTTAAGTGTGTACCCCTCCCACTGAATTGATTAAAGTGACTTATGTGCTTAATATTAAGTACTGAACACAATTATCTACTACATCAAAGCTCTCTGCACCTTCCAAGACTAAAACTCTGACTGAGAATCTTCTTCTTGCTGTATGACATCAAGTCCTCCTACTGATTTAGAGAACAGTTTTTATTTTAAAATAATAAGAGCCTAGTTAGGTCTGCAAGAAAGAAACAGCAGGTCAAAACGAGCACTGTGCCATTCTTAAGACCTTGACTGAAAGCCCAATGGACCTTACAAATTCTTCTGCTTGACTTAGCACTGGAACATATGTGAGCTGCTAACCTGTGATGCTAAAAACCGGGAGCTTGTTTTTTATCAGATGTGAAACTAATTAGCAAACTCCCTATTCCACACAGTCAAATAAATCTGTCAACTTAGTAGGCAAATTAACAGATTAACAAAAGAAAATAGTGACAGAACAGCCACCACTACCACTCTGAAGATTCTCACAAAAATCTTCAAGTACTTGAAGATTTCAAGTACTTCAAGTACTTGATGGTCTTCCACTGACCAAGACTCACAACAGCTCAGGAAGTAGCAAAACAGTATCACCCCATTTTTCAAAGAGGTTATGAGAGGTCTAGGAGGGAACAGTAAGTCGCCGAACTGTCCTGTACAAATACAGTAAGTCTTGGAACAAAGCTAAATGTCATGATTCCCAATACACCAAGTTTTTTGTTCTCATTTGCTCTTTCTGGAAGATCCTCCCCTCCAGGTCACCAGTGTAACATTTCCCAATTTTTACCTCCCCTTTTAAGGGTGAATTTTAATGCTCTTGAATCATCTGAGAAAAAACCCTTATGAATACCTCAACAGGCTCATGAGAAAAATCTTGCCCAGATACGACAATGAGCCTGAGCTACCCCTCCCAACCCAACCCTACAACCCCCACAAAAATAGTCAGTTGGAAATAGCTCACTCACTGGATCCCAAAGGAGATGAGGGAAACACTGACCACCAGCAGGTCTAGGATGTTGAAATAGTTTCTGCAGAAGGAGCCCTTATGGAGGAAAGCCCCGTACGCAGTCATCTGCAGGAAGGCACACGGAGAAACAAACACACTTGGCCATTAGCATCTGCTCAGAAACCAAACCCACCTTCTTGTGCTCAGAGTATATAGCTGGGGAGGGGTGGGAGGTGGTGCAGTATTTCTAACATAGCAGACAATTTACCCCCAGGCCCCAAAGGAGAAGTTGAGTCCCCATTGAAAGAAAAGAGAGTGAAGAAGACAGTAAGATAACTATGAAAGATCCAGCCAGAGAAGGTTCAGCAATGAAAATATGCACTTTCAGTGCACTGAGTACATAAAATTTAGAATCAGCAAAGCTAGCAGAATGACTGTTTTCAAAAACTACTCTTTGCAATCATACGGTGTTCCCTTTTTCTTTGATGACAGAGGATACTTGTGAGTATGATCCTTGTATTATACAAAGGCCTCTTTAGCTAAATTGAAAAAAAAATATTAAAAAAATGGGCTCTTTTGTAATGTTTTTTAATGCTTAGACCAGCTGCAGTGGACAGTTGATCTCCCTTCCCTCCGTGAAGGAAAACCAGAATCCCTCAGTGATTTGATGCTTTAGAGCTGAACTAAAGCAATAGGAGGAATCACTGCTCTCTTCAGTTTGCTCCTTCTATTCAGCTCAATCCCATATCCCTTTTCCTGTCCATCTTCATCCACTTTTATTCTAAATGCTGTTGCATTTTCCCCTTAGTTTTCCTCACAAAGCCCAGGGCAATATTCCTTCAGACAGAGTGGTTTCTTTGTGGAGGTAATAATTATGAACATCACCCAGCAAAGGAAGGGAAAATTTTTACATATTTTGCAAGGGACACTCTGCCCCGTCCAGGTATGAAGGGATATTGAATCCTTGCTGGATTTGAGGGGGATATCACAGCTCCAGAACGGGCTTAAGTGACAGTGTAAACAGAAAATTTTGACTGAGCTCTGTTACAGAAAGTGACTAAATGAGTCTGGCACAGTCAAAGAGGGTGAGGGGATGGAGGGATTTGTTCACCTACCTTAGACTCGGTGAGTGATTTAATGGAGCTGCTTTGAGGAAACCCCATCCCCACAGTTGCTAATGTCCCCCCATTACCTCAGTTAGGAACACAGGTGTCTAAGTCTGGTCCTCTGAATCTCACCTAAGTTAGGTGACTAAAGTAACCCGAAGCAGACGCCATGAGACTGTTCCTCAGTGATGAGCTCTAGCCAGACTCCCACCTGAGAAGTGTGAACTAGAAATTCAAACTGGAGTTTTCTGGCTCCCACTAGTAGCTCAGGATGGAATACTGGCTGGTGACTACCTGTGAAAACTTTATTCAGAGCAGGGTGGAAGGGCACATGGTATGTCAGATAATTTTTTTCACCAAACATCCATGACATCAGGGAACTGACTTATCAGTCAGACAGAACTTAGAAGGGGAGGAAGTATAAACTCTGGTCTTGGTTTAGAATTTATACTTAAAAACACATTCAACTGGGGAAGGGAGAAGGGGTTTTTGCCATAACAAAGGAGGTAAAGATGCCCTTTACTGATTAGATTTTGTATGGCAATCTTGAAAGAAAGACACCATTGAAATCAGGAGGGGAAGTTCTGCTGATTTTAAGTT